ATGAGAAAGAAATGAGTAAATATTGATATATTTAGGGCAGCTTATTGAATATAGATTGTAGAATATGAAATGATTAAAAGAATGGGTAGCAGAAAATAATAAAAAAAGAAAGAAGGAAAAAGACAAAGGATGAAATAAAGAAGCTGGGGTTGTGAGCCATTCATCCTCTGACATAGACTCCATTATAGAGATGGTCAAACCCCAAACTGACACACAACTTTTTATTCAATTCCATACACATAAAAACACCCTCACTTCTACACCTACTAGCTACTTCCCTTTTTCTTTTCTTTTCTTTCCTTTTTATATATATATTTAGAGTCAACTACAACTTTGGTCCCTGTGGTTTACACCATTCTTTAAAAATGTTTCTTAGACTTCACTGACTATAATTATCGTCCATATTGCTTCAAAATCATCCCTCCACTTAACTCCGTTAAATTAAGAATATTTTTGTCTTTTTACTTTTACGAGACAAATTACAATTTTGTTTAAAGCATAGGGACCAAATTGTATTTTACTCTAATTTATATTGATATTATTATTATTATTATTATTATTATATATATATATACACACACATCTGATAAGAAAATGACAAAAAAAAGTGTAGAAAGACGAAAGTACCTCTAACTTAACTGAGTTTTTTTTAATGAAGTTAACGACCAGTGACGATCTTCAAAGGCAAATGTAAACAGTAGGGACAATAATTGTAGTTATTAAAGTCTAGAGACCACTTTTGAAGATTTTTGTAAACTACAGGGACCAAAGTTGTAGTTTACTCTATATTTATCAATAATTGTTTTTCTAATGCCTTTTGTCTATAAATCTTTGGGAATTCTATTATTATAATAAAAATTTAAAACATAAATAAATTTTAATAGTTATAAATCTAGAAAAAGGAAATTGTTTAACACCATATGCAAGTTGTATTAGTGATTTAATAATGTGTTAAGTAAGAGATATATAAGATGAATTGTAATTGATGTATATGTTTTAATTTGTAACACTAGCTAAATGATGCATGCATTTATGTTTGTTATTACATTCATAATCCTTTTGATTACGTTTATATAGCAGCAAAGAAAATGTTGTTGGAGAGCAACTCGTCAACAGGTGTGGCATCGTCATTAGACAAAAGATGACATACACACAGATAAAGGGAAATTAAGATGGATATTTGTACATGTGAAACTTCTTGTCCTACTTAATGGTGTTTGGATTATTGTCTTAAAAAAAATCAGTTGTTAAGCATCATATTAACTGCCATTTTATTATTTAATTTCAAAATATATGTAAGAAAGATGTGCATTCAGATCATCCATTATATCTAAAATGTACTTATATTTGTCTTCTTTCACAATCTTCATTTACTGTATATCCACCTCTCATCCAACTATTTCACCCATATTCATATTAACTCACGGTTTATTTTGATACAATTATTCGCATTTACAAACTTTTGTGTGTGTGTGTGTGTTACATATACATGTCGATAAGGTGGAGTAGTATGGTGAGTGAAACATGAAATTAGAAGAGGAAGGTTATGAGACTAAAACCAGGATATGATAGACAGACAAAGTTTGGGAAGAAAATACTGTTAGATTTTGAAACTTGATCGAATCACATTACAACTCAACTATATTAGGCTCCATAAGCAAGACATATATATACATCTTAAAAGAAGATTGTAGGATGGCTATGTCCTTGTAGGGAGCTCAAGGTTTATTATATACATCTTAAAAGAAGCAGAAGTTCATATTAGAAAGAAATTGATATAGTGAGTTGCAAAAAATAGGCGAAACAACAGTGAAAATGCAGACATGCTTCAATTGGTTGTAATGACAGGGAAAGGAGCCCGACTAGAGAAGATGAGAAAAGAAAAACCCTATATGTTTCAATTGCTTGTATAAATGTTTTAAACACTTGTACTAAAACATTATAATTAATAATATAATAAGTTATAAAAACTCAAATAAAAATAAAACAGATATGTTTTTCTTAAAACTAGTTTTATATAATAAATATTTACTACATTATTGTTTTGATAAAATTTTAATTTTTAAGTTATAAAAATAGTTAAGTAAAAGAAACAGGCCTTGACGGTTTTTCCTGCCTTAATCGGTTTTTCCTCCTTTTGGAAGCAAAAATCCAACCAGGAACCGAAATTGTAGTGGCAACAAATAATCATGTAGGATAAGTACGAGCATGTTGATCCAAGTGTATGAGCAATAATTGGCGGGTAGACTCTTGACAACTTGGACCATCCATTTACAATCTTATTTGTGCTACACCCACACTACTTCCAATAATGAACCCTAGGCAATCATTATTCTTCAAGGTAAACATAAACTAGCTTAGTTTTTATTTATATGTAAGGTTGAATATACATAAGTTAACTTATTGAAACACGGTTAGATCATAAAATAAGTGAAATGACACACACTTTTAAACATGCATAATTATTACATTTTTTGATTATTTACTTTATAAATTGGACATTTATTTTGATACAAGTATAAATAGAAATTTAGATACTTTTAAGAGTTTTTTGACATTTTTTTTCAATTACAACTCTAATTAATATTAATGGTTATTTATTAATTAGCATCAACTCCAAT